ATTTTATACAACAGTAATTACTGGAAAATGTAATAAATTACAAATCTCCACAAAGGTATTGGACATCTATTAGGAGCTTTACAGTTTGCATTTTAAACACAAAATAAATTAAGTATGACTTTTAACAGGTAGATAGTTAAAATGCAAGGATCTTTTTTTGTCTTCAGTTTCAAATATACACAATGTTTTTGCTAGATAAGAATGCTATTATGATCATGAGAAAAATGATGGATTTTTTAAAAAGTATTACARAGATGGTGTCGTTTGATTATATGTTACAGCGGCTTGCCACAGCAGGGTCATGGCACAGAGCGAAAGAATGACACGGCCATTTTCCATATATGGACATGACAAAAAGCTCCGGCCCGCCCCGGCTGATCGCCCCGCCCACCTGCCTCTACTGTCCCAAATAGTTCCCGACAGAAGACGGAACGGCCTCTGTGACACTAATGAACTGGGAGGAAACTTAAAACCAGCGCTGTGAAAAACCGAATACAAATAACTGTCAGCGGCTCAGTCCATATGCTCAAACTTTTAATTCAAGTTAATTTTGTTTTGAAGGTGTATCAAAATGTGGGGGACACAGTCTGTCCTTTCCACTGACGCCACTGCAGACACGGACAGGCATATTAGGACAGACAGCTCACCTCAGGTGTTTTTGGGGGAGACCCCTCTCTTCTCTTTTCTGCTGGTTGTTGAAGTTCAGCCTCCTCCTCTCGCTGTCGTAGACTTCGTTGCTTTTGTTTGATGAATTATTATTTTCTCTGCGATTCGGTGTCCTGAAGTCGCCCGCGGACTCGTTTTTTTATGAAGGGGGGACGCGCTGAAGTGCGCGACGCTCCGCTGCAGGGGAAGAAAGAGGGGGGAGAGCCGGGGGGACAGAGGCGCACAGGAGGCGGAGGGGCGGGGGCGTCTATTTTGGAATGAGCGCTGCTGTCCGGGAGGGAGCACGTGTTCAGAGTGGTCCCTGACTCACTAAAGCAGGGGTGCACAAACATTTCCCCTGAGAGGGCCAAAATAAAAATCCACCTGAGGGCCATGGGCCAAATGCAATAATATAAGAAATGCAAATTCTTCTTAAGTAAAGTTATTTTATTTTTTACAGCYCATGGACATGGAGCAGGCGGCTCATTGGACTTTACATAATTTAAAATTTGAGGATATGAAGTCTTTTAAGGTGTGCAAATCGAGATAAGGATCTCAAAGACACAGTTTGTAGGGTTTTGTCATTTCTTTTAGCCGAAATTGAGATAATCATTAATGACAATAATAAAAAACGTGTCTAATCATTGCAGACAAAGACCTTGTTTTATTATTTTTACCTTATAAAAAGCTGTTTATATCTCCATGGTCGCGGGTCGCCACTACAGGCAGCAGCCATCTTGTCTACGAAGGCTCATGAA